GACACAGTGACAATGCCAGGTGTCCTGCAGGGGGGTGGCACAGTGACACAGGGGTGGCACAGTGACAGAGTGACAGTGCCAGGTGTGTCCTGCAGGGGGGTGGCACAGTGACACAGGGGTGGCACAGTGACACAGTGACAGTGCCAGGTGTCCTGCAGGGGGGTGACACAGTGACACAGTGACAATGCCAGGTGTGTCCTGCCCCTGCAGGGGGGTGGCACAGTGACACAGTGACACAGTGACACAGTGACACAGTGACAATGCCAGGTGTCCTGCAGGGGGGTGGCACAGTGACACAGGTGACACAGTGACAATGCCAGGTGTCCTGCAGGGGGGAAGCCGCAGGCGCAGGACGAGGTGGACGAGATCGAGGTGTACGGCAGCGAGGCGGCCTCGGGGACACAGCTGGCCACCTACTCCTTCGAGGTACTGTCACCTGTGTGTCACCTGTGTGTCACCTGTGTCACCTCCCTGTCACCTGTGTGTCACCTGTGTGTCACCTGTGTCACCTGTCACTGTCACCTGTGTGTCACCTCCCTGTCACCTGTCTGTGAGGCACCACCTACTCCTTCGAGGTACTGTCACCTCCCTGTCACTGTCACCTGTGTCACCTGTGTCACCTGTCACTGTCACCTCCCTGTCACCTGTCTGTCACCTGTCTGTAAGACACAGCTGGCCACATACTCCTTCGAGGAACTGTCACTGTGTGTCACCTGTCACCTCCTGTCACCTGTCTGTCACCTGTCTGTAAGACACAGCTGGCCACATACTCCTTCGAGGAACTGTCACTGTGTGTCACCTGTCACCTCCTGTCACCTGTCTGTCACCTGTCTGTAAGACACAGCTGGCCACATACTCCTTCGAGGAACTGTCACTGTGTGTCACCTGTCACCTCCTGTCACCTGTCTGTCACCTGTCTGTAAGACACAGCTGGCCACATACTCCTTCGAGGAACTGTCACTGTGTGTCACCTGTCACCTCCTGTCACCTGTCTGTCACCTGTGTGTCACCTGTGTCACCTGTCACTGTCACCTCCCTGTCACCTGTCTGTGAGGCACAGCTGGCCACCTACTCCTTCAAGGTAATGTCACCTCCCTGTCACGTGTCTGTCACCTCCCTGTCACCTGTCTGTCACCTGTCTGTGAGACACAGCTGGCCACATACTCCTTCGAGGTACTGTCACTGTGTGTCACCTGTCACCTCCTGTCACCTGTCTGTCACCTGTGTGTCACCTGTCTGTGAGACACAGCTGGCCACATACTCCTTCGAGGTACTGTCACTGTGTGTCACCTCTCTGTCACCTCCCTGTGACCCCAACCTGGCCACCTACTCCTTTGAGGTAGTGTCACCTGTGTCACCACCCTGTCACCTCCCTGTCACCCCTGTCCCCTCCCTGTGAGCCCAGCCTGGCCACATACTCCTTAATGGTACGGTCACTGTCACCTGTCTGTCACCTGTATCACCCCCCTGTCACCTCTGTCACCTGTGTCACCTCCCTGTGACCCCTAGCCGGCCACCTGTGAGGTATTGTCATTGTCACCTCCCTGTCACCTGTGTGTCACTTCCTCGTCACCTCCCTGTCACCTCTCTGTGAGCCCCAGCTGGCCACCTGCTCCTTCATGGTCGTGTCACTGTCACCTCTGTCACCTCCCTGTCCCATCCCTGTGACCCCAGCCTGGCCACCTACTCCTTGGATGTATTGGCACTGTCACCTGTCACCTCTGTCACCTCTGTGTCCCCTCCCTGTGACCCCAACCTGGCCACCTACTCCTTGGAGGTACTGGCACTGTCACCTGTCACCTGTCACTGTCACCTCCCTGTGACCCCAACCTGGCCACATACTCCTTAGAGGTACTGGCACTGTCACCTGTCACCTGTGTCATCTCCCTGTGACCCCCAGCTGGCCACCTGTGAGGTATTGTCATTGTCACCTCCCTGTAATCTATGTCGCCTCCCTGTCACCTCCCTGTCAGCCCCAGCTGGCCACCTGCTCCTTCAAGGTACTGTCACCTGTCACCTCCCTGTCACCTCTGTCACCTCTGTCACCTCTCTGTGAGCCCCAGCTGGCCACCTGCTCCTTCAACGTACTGTCACTGTCACCTCCCTGTCATCTGTGTGTCACCTCCCTGTCACACACAGCTGACCACCTACTTCTTCAAGATACTGTTATTGTCACCTGTCTGTCCCCTGTCTGTCACCTGTGTCACCTGTGTTGCCGCCCTGTCACCCCTGTCCCCTCCCTGTGAGCCCAGCCTGGCCACCTGCTCCTTCGTGGTACTGTCACTGTCACCTGTCACCTGTATCACGCCCCTGTCACCTGCGTCACCTGTGTCACCTCCCTGTGACCCCTAGCCGGCCACCTGTGAGGTATTGTCATTGTCACCTCCCTGTCACCTGTGTGTCACTTCCTCGTCACCTCCCTGTCACCTCTCTGTGAGCCCCAGCTGGCCACATACTCCTTCGAGGTACTGTCACTGTCACCTCCCTGTCATCTGTGTGTCACCTCCCTGTCACACACAGCTGACCACCTACTTCTTCAAGATACTGTTATTGTCACCTGTCTGTCACCTGTCTGTCCCCTGTCTGTCACCTGTGTCACCTGTGTCACCTCCTCGTCACCTCTCTGTCCCCTCCCTGTGAGCCCCAGCTGGCCACCTGCTCCTTCATGGTACTGTCACTGTCACCTGTCTGTCGCCTGTGTCACCTCCCTGTGACCCCTAGCCGGCCACCTGTGAAGTATTGTCATTGTCACCTCCCTGGCATCTGTGTCACCTCCTCGTCACCTCCCTGTCACCTGTCTGTGAGGCACAGCTGGCCACCTACTCCTTCGAGGTACTGTCACTGTCACCTGTGTCACCTGTGTGTCACCTGTGTGTCACCTGTGT